GATCAATTGATTGGTCACATTTTCCAAGTTCGAAAAATTATGAAATTAAAGAAATTTATGTTACTATGGTAACAATATGCATCTTTTTGGATGATTATATTTATTTTTCTGTAATTGACACAAAATCTTTTCTTTTCATTCTTTTTGGAAACTACAATAATAGGTGAAGTCCAAGAACTAGTTGATGGTCAGATAATATTGACTTCTAACATTCTTTGAATTTCTTCTGATATAAATGATTAGTTTAAAAGAGTAATTCTATAAGATTATTATTTGATAAGTGATTCATTTTTAGTATATATCTCATGTTAAATTATATTACTTCAGCCAAGTTCATGTAATTTAGTTGCAAATATATCAGCATTATCTTCTAGTAGTTGAGTCATTCTTATTTAGCAATTAATTTTTGTTATTCAATAACTTTTTTTTTTGTTCTTATTCCAAGAAATAGGTATAAGCTTCTTGATGATTAGTAAATCCAAATCTAGCTGTTTCTTGACTAAATTGTTCTAGTTCTTCTCTAATAGAAACTGATTGAAGTTGATCAATAGGTACAAGTTAAAGAAATATAAATTGAGTAATTTTCTGATCTGATTCAATAATATAATCATCTTCTGAAACATTTTGAATAATAATACTGATATTTTCAGTATATCCAGAATTAATAGTTCTATCTTTAATATTGATTTCTTGTTTTGTGAGAGATGAGTGAGATATTACTTGACATATAACTTCTACAAGAATTTCTATGATAATATAGATATCTACTAATATGACTTGATGTAAGAGAATTTTGATCATTTCTTTTCTAGTATAATAAATATTATATTCAATATCAGTTAGATATGCTTTTTCTGATAATTTTTCTTTATTTTGATTATTATAAACTTTAATTGCATAGTAATTATTATTTTATTTTATTTTACAGGGGTATTCTTTAAATAATTATTAAATTATTATGAAAATTCATTAAGAGCTTGATAAATAACATTGAATCATTCATGTATTTTATTTAATTTGAGTTGAGGGAACTAAGTTAAAATAGAAATAAAGCTGATTTCTTCAATTAATTCATTAATTATTATTTCTTCTGGAATTGGTTCTAAAGTTATAGGATATTTTCCTTTATCTACTTTAATTGGAGATTCAGATTATACACAATCATTATATTTATTATTATCATAAGGAATTAGACATTCTTGATAGAGTTTCATATTAATATAATCCAAGCGAGCAAGCTGTTATCTTCAGTTAGAACTGAGTTATTGATAAATATATTGAAATATTTTAGTAGCAGAGACTTTTACAGAACTCTTATAGATAATTTCTTGAATATAGTTATCTTTATACTGAGAGCAAGCAGGAAGATTTAATTATTTTTCTTTGATGCAATTATCACAAGCAGTTACTTTTTCTCCATTCATTTTAAAATATATTCCAGTATAATATTTGTCTATATATTTTTTACATTCACAATATCTTCTAATCTGGAAATTAGGATGAATTTATTGTGCAGCAGCTTGATATGAATTAAAGCTTTTCTTGATTTTTTTGTTAATGAAGAGTTCTTGTTTAACTTTATCAGTCCAATCTTCATTAGTTTTGAATTTAACATGAAAAGATTTATAAATTTTGATTGTTATCCAAGTAGCAAGTTTATCATAACATCAGTGACATTGATATTCAGACATAAAGAGATTTTAATGATATTAACATTAGCTATTTGGTCCTTGCCAGCCAAATAACTATCAGTTATTCTAATTACAAGATTAAGTAAACTTCTTGTAAGTCATTTGAAATCTTTCTAAATATATTTCTTTCATTTGATTTTGATTTTTTCCTGATAGGCTTGTATTTCATAAGTTCTTTTAATACTTTAAATAATTTATGAAGATATATCTTCAAAGTTAAAATCTCTTAAATTTCAATTTGAAGTTTCAATAGGAGTTCAGACTTCTTTTGTAATGATTTCAATACTGTTATCATCTTGAAATTCTTGTTATCTAGGAGTTATAATATTCTAATTATCATGTTGTCACATAAGAAAAGTCTTCTTCTCCAAGTATTGTTTTTCAAACTTACTTTCAGAATCTTCTTTTGATTTATCTTCTTTAGAACTTGTATCTTCAAAGATTGATTCTCTTCTATCATCATGAATAAATTTAATTAGTACTTTTTCTTTTTGATTATTATATTTAAAGATGAGTAGCCCTTTTCAGATATCAATATTTGCTTTGATTTTATTTAAAAAGTCTATTCTAATAATTACTAAATAAGTTTTTACTTTAGTAATATCTATTTCAATAGGAATTATAATTCATTAATATTCAAAAGTAGATTGTTGATAATTTCAAGAGATTGTTTAGGGGGAGACTAGGGGGGTTCCCACTAAGAGGTTATTTATGCCTCACCTAGCTCCAGCTTGCCTTCTAGTATATTGATCTTTTTTTGTTATTATATTGATATTTGATCTTTTTTCACTTTGAAATATATCTAGAAATCTATATTGCTTTCTTGCCTAGCTGGAGACTTCAAAATCTTAATTTTGATAATGATTGGTTTATATTTTTTGACACATTTTTAATATATTGTATAATTATCTGATCTTTAACTATTCTTTAACTATCAAGAAAATATTATAGATTTCTTGCCTAGTTTGAGTCTCCAAAATCTTAAATTGAATGACAAGTTAACTATACTTCAAACAAAAAAATATATTATATAGCTATTTGATCTTTTTTTACTTTGAAATATATCTAGATAATCTTTTAGCTTTCTTGCCTAGTTTGAATCTCTGAAATCGATTATTGCTAGTTGTATGAGAATGCAGGCACAAAGTATCATTTCTTCAAAATAAGCACCTGAAAATGTGAAGTGAAGCAGAGCATCTAGTTAGCATATTGTTTTCTAATGTTCAGAATCCCATCTCCTCATGATTGAATCACATGAGAAAAAAAGGAAAAATGTAAATAGCTGTATATGCTTTTTCTCTTAATGAGAACGAACTTTATAATAATGTTTTAATGTATAATAGCTACCAGTATGTAATTTATATTGACCACAATCTGCTCTAGTAGGCTTTCCACATACAAGACAGAATTTATGAAATTTTGACAAATAATGCTCCCAACATCCCTCAGCTCTATGACAAGATCTGTTACATAAAGAACTATTATTGTGAAGATATCGGCAAGTATAAAGTAGCATTAATATAAAATATCTCTTGTATATTATTAATTAATTATTCATTAAATATAACAAATTTCAATTTAGAAAAAAATATGGTTATATATAACAAATAAAAAAATGATACATTTATTATGACTGAACAAAATATCAATATCAATTCTGTTATGGCAAAAGATATTGAAAAGGCATTACTTGTCACAATCTATGTAATAAATCTGTCTATTTTTTTTACTTTAATAAAATAATCTCACCAGATTTTTATTTTTTAATTGATTGATGCGCATCAGCATGTGCCAGTTTTAAATGTCAAAAATAAATTGCTAATTGATACGTAATATTAGTTCAATGAGTATTGACTTAATATACTCTATATAAATCCTTTACCAATTATCAATGATATATTTTCCTTATTTTCATTATGAGAGTATGGATCATTAAATTATTCATGTCACCATTAATAAGAAGAGAAATATGATGTAGTATTTTCACGGTTCAGACCACTGAGCTATGAGACATGAAATAGTTAGCAGAATTCACCTTAATTTTTTTGATTGTTGAACTATACTACAAGCGTTTATCAATTTCTTTATCATTCACTTTCTTTCCCATACTTCTTACTATTCATGATATTATAAAAAAATTATAATTGAATAAAAAATATAGTTTTAAGAAAATATCTAGGTTTATTATATAATAATGTCATCTAGACAAGTCAATCAAGTAAGCATCTGCAAAGATATGCAAGTCAGACTTGCAGAACTTAAAGAAGTAGCATTGAACATGATACTCTATATGCTATTTTAACTCAGTATCAAGAAGAGATTAGAAATTTCAAAAAGAAAACTAATTATCAATTAGAAATAGATTCTATTGACAAGTTAGCTGAATGGTTAGCTGGGCCAGAAAAAGGTCATAAGCCAAAAGAATCAGAACCAGTTCCTATTACATTTGATGAATGGGCAGATAAACATTTATGGTTAGAAAAAGAAGATCCAGTTCAACATATAGATAGATCAATTACATGATTTTCAAGACATATTTCAAAATTAGCACCCCAGAAAAAGCTAAATAATCATGGAATAGAGTATTGAAAACTTTCTCCTAATGCTAATAAACCACATATTACATATGAATATACTAATAAAATTCATAATTTGATGGATGATGATGAGAAATATATTATTGAGATTGTTAATAGTTGGGAAATGGATAGAATGAAAAGACAAATGCAATTTGATGATAATAATATACCTATAGGTTTAAAAGAGGAATGGGTTCCAGAAGAAAAACAAGAATGGAAAATGGAGTCTCATGGATGGATACCATCATTTAATGAATATTCTAATGAAAAAATCAATATACATAAGCTTTTAATAATGGATCAGAGGGCATAGTTATCTTGAAAAGATGAAAATATAGATCTAAATTAAGATGGAGACTATTATTTAGAAGGCCAACCATATATACTGCATTACCAATTTATGGCACATCCACATCGAGATTTATTTGGTCTAGGTATTTATAAAGATGGAACAGTTTGGTGGTATACTCAATTGCCAGTTCATGTTCATCATAATATGGCATTAAAAATTCGGTCATTTCTTTATTATGCTACAGAATATACACTCTTTACTAAAATCTGGAAATCAGATGGATCTGTAGATGAAGAGATTGTAGATAAGAACTGGCATTTTAATAAGAAAAAAAAGGCTGACAGTCTCACTGGGGAAGAAATCACTCCAGGATAACTTATAGGAATTAATCAATATCTATGGACAAAGACTCGTGAATATGTATCACATATTTGTTATAAACTTTGGCCAGTTCCAATACCATAAGGTCCACCAGATCCATTCTATAATGGTGATATAAACTGTATTATTGCAGAATTGCAATGACAAATTAAGCAAGGAGGAACAAAGCGAGCTATAGAATTAACGTCAGTCCATGAAAGTGCCCTTATTAAATTTAATGAAAAAGTTCTGAATCTGGATTGTACTTTGAATGACTTGCATGATCTTGAAAAGCCAGAGAAATCTGGAGGTATAGGAATGAAAATAGTCATTAAGAATTTCTTGGGAAATGAAATATGGGATAGTGGTAAATATCTCAAATAGCGCAAACTAACTGTATTTTGTCATAATAACCATGCTTGAAAGAGTGATATTTCTGAAATGCCACAAGTATCTTCAGTCTGCTATATAGATTTAGAATGTGAAAGAGCATTTGCTTCCGCATGTACCAAAACTAAAGAAGGAAAGATTAATATTGACAATAAAAAAATTGCAGAAGCACTTATATTATTTATTGCCAGAAAACTTCCAAAAGCTACAAGAGTATGGATTATAGGTAAGGAAATTTTAACATATAAAGGTCATCTCTATCATAGCTATCATGAATGGGAAAAATTAATTAAGGCTTTCAAATATAAAAAATCACAATTCATATCTGAAGAACTTTTAAAATAGGAGCTGATAGATATTAGTGCATGTATGGAAGGAGAATATTCTTCTACAGTACTAATTCCTTCACAAGAGCTTAAAGCAGAATATAATGAGCTTGAAAAATTTCTGGGAGGTACACAATCTTACCAATTTTATTGTTGGTGAGAAAGAGAAGGTATCAAGTTTATACCTAGGAATGTTGTTGAAATTTAGCAACAATCTCAAGTAGAATCAATAGTATGGAATGTCCCAATAGATCCACCCCCTAAATACATTTATATTGATCTTCATGGAGCATATCTTGATTGTGAAGATTCAGAATGGAGTATATCAGAAGCATTACCTTGGGTAAGACAATATGGATTTCCAGAACAAATACAATAACGTACCTGCATTGATAATATTGAAGCTATTCATTGCTTGACTGGCATTGTTCAGCTAGTAGCATAGGAATTTGCCAAAAATCTCCATCCATTCACAGCAGGACTTATTGGGTAACATCTCACAGAAAAGAAAGGCTGGATTCCAACACCTCTTATAGATTATCTACTTAGTGCTGGATGGCTTATAAGTATAACTCCAAGAGAAATCATATATAGTGTAGGCAAAAAATCCTGCATTGAATTTCCACCTGATCGTGATATAGCAGTTTATTTCATGGAATCATATGCTCGTAATGCACAAGTTATATCTGTTTTAATTTGAGACAAAAATGAGGCAGATATGATTCATCAATGGTTAGCAAGAAAAAAGTATTGACCAAACTGAACAAGTAATGAGTATGGAACTCTAATAAAGTATGAGAGGGATAAAAAACGTACTCAATGGTTATATATCCGCTCTTTTATTCTTGCTTATACTCACATTGCTATACTTGAACAGCTAAAATACTTTTCAGTTAAAAATGTATTACAAGTATGTACTGAT